CTGAATAATTTTTATTTTATTTATTAAGGTCAGCCAACGACTGTTTACACATCATATTACAACAAAACGGTTTACAATATGCATTTGTTAGTGTAACAATCAATTAAAAGCGAACAGATCATGCATTAAACACAAATACAAATTGCCCATAAACAGAAATCTATTTAAAGTAAACTCACAATTAGAACAAACATAAGAAATACTTAATACTATGATTACAAAGATTGATCAACTAAAAAAACAAAAAAATAAATAAATGGAAAGTAAATCTAATAATCATGGGGACTGTAAAAAGATACTATTAGAATTATAATGTTGTAAAAAATATTAAATTTCAATGTGTCAATTCACATCGCGTAAATAATAAATAAGACAAACAAATATTTTAACAATATTTTAATCAATATATTTTTGTTTTTTTATTATTAAATATTATTTTATTTGTTAAGTAGTATTAAATTTATAAATGTAATTTATAGAGAATTTTAAATAAATATAATATGAACATTTTAATCATACTTTAAAACACTTCGGTGTAAATGCAACCATTTTTAATCCGTTCCAATTTACAGGGTGTTTGCAATTCGCATACTGTTAGTAATTCAGCGGTTGTACTCGAGCCAACCTATCACAGAGACATTCATAGCTTTTCATTTAAACAAAATTAACGCTTTATTGTTAAATGTTAAATATCTTCTGGTTTACAAAAGATATGGTTACTGCAATGTAGTTGTTATTTGTATTTTCGAGATTAACACAAGCTGCGGCTTTTATTTGAATATTTTCATATTTCTGATTTTGTTAATTACATGGACAAAGTTAGTTTCTTGTATTCATGAATGCGCTCAATTACTACGATATTTTATATTTTGTACTGTCATAAATAATAGCCTTCTACAATAAAAAGTATTGACAAATTACAACGCCATCTATCACCAACAATATAAACTACAATAACTCCTAACTCTCTGCCGCACCAATAGATGGCGTTACTAACACGATGAGTCGAGAACAATACCCTCTTTCTACGGAGGGTTGCACAACCCTTTTAATTGCACATTAATATAATTTCGGATTATGAAACACAGCATCTGGTCTCAAAGGAACGCGCTCCCGAAGTCATATAGAAAGTTAAATTGACTCTGTTACTTATTCAATAGAAACTGACGACCCGTACAAAATGGGCGCCATTTTTGATCAAATAGGTAGGTAGTATGGTGTTGTTTAAAGGACTTTGTTTTGATATAAGGTTATGTATAGTTTTGTGTATAGGGGTAATAATAAAATGAAGTCACTAAACGTATCTGTCTGTTTAACTTACTGTAACTTTTTTTTATTTGTTCTGGTCCTACAAACCAATATGTTATATTATTTCCAAGTTAACCTAACGCTTTGCCGGGGCTCTCGTTCGAAGCAGGATTAGGAACGGGATTGTTTTTAGTCAGTAAGAGTCTGACACTCCCTCCCGCCTTACGCAGGCGGGAGTAGTCATTCGATTATTTATTTTCTCCCGTTAAAAAAAAAGTGTATCCTTGGTATTAAGAACCTATCATACATGTTCAAGGAATAACAGGTGCTATAATTATGTACAGATGTATATTTGTACAGTGTATAGTTTCACAGTAACCACAAATCACGCCATAACACTATTAGCAAATCACTGAGTTCTCCCTAGACAATTAATAGGCAATCAGGGCAATAATTATTATTTATGGGAATATTAACAGGTATTAATTAACCAACTACTAGACACTTGTTGTTAATAAGGTTGAAATTCCCATGAGAAATTATGATCGGTGTCACTGCTTTGGTCAAATTAGATTAGTGCTTTTATTGACTGTACGGCTGGTGCGGTGGCTGGGCAACTGGCTGCCGTGCAACGTGTCGCGGGTTCGATTCCCGTACGGAACAACACTTTGTGTGATCTACAAATTGTTGTTCCAGGTCTGGGTGTCATGTGTATGTGAACTTGTATGTTTGTAAACGCACCCACGACACAGGGGAAAATCCTGTGGAGAGTGGGGCAAAGATTTTTTTAAAAAAGAAGATTGACTTTTTTAAGGGGGGAAATCATCGAATGACTGCTTCGGCCTGGGTGAGGCGGGAGGGAGTGTCAGACTCTTACTGACTAATAATAATATAATAATAACACTTTTATTTCAGACCACTGTGTCCAAATTGTTTCCACATTTTGCCACTGTACAATGTAACACCCACTTTACACTATTTATGTTATGATTATGAGTCCCATGTAATAGAGGGTGAGCCTATTGCCATATATCGGGCACAATTTCAGACTCCGTGCCACTACTGAGATTTTTTTAAAAACTCAGTAATACTTTGCTTGACCTGAGAGTCGAACCCGAGATCCCTTGCCCGGCAGTCGCACTTGCGACCACTCGGCAAATGAGGCAGTCTGGGTGTTACATTGTATATTATATGATCCACTTACTGGTTTTCTATTACATAAGATTCTATGAAAAGGATCATTCATTCCTTCTGTCAAACCTGGTTATGAACATAATTTTCTGGTTACTAACTACACTGGTGAATAGATGCTATGAAGAATTTCTTAATCACCCCTTTTCTATCTCTATTCACCTCTTGATTAGTATTCACTTCACTGTACTAGTTAGCAGTTATATAGAATACTAGCTACTTCCGCGCGGTTTCACACGCTCTGCTCAGCTCCTACTCGTCGTAGCGTGATGTTTTATAGCCTAAAGCCATCCTCGATAAATGCGCTATCCGAAACAAAAAGAATTATTCAAATCAGACTTGCAGTTCCTGAGATTAGCGCGTTCAAACAAACAAACAAACAAACAAACAAAAAAACAAACTCTTCCGCTTTATATAGAAAGAAAGAAAGAAAGAAACAAAGAAAACATTTATTCAGCACCAGGCACGATGCAGCATAAATAAAATATAAAAAAGACAATCAAGGTGTGGCAGTGGAAGTAATAAAAACATAAGAGTTGAAAAATTAAAACAGAAGAATTAGAAGAGAGACGCTGACCACATGCCGATGCTATAATAGTGTCGCGGAGAACCTAAATTAAAAAAAAAAAATGCTGTATAATAGTATTTTTTTTAAGGGGGGAAAATCATCGAATGACTGCTCCCGCCTGGGTGAGGCGGAAGGGAGTGTCAGACTCTTACTGACTAAAAACCACCCCGTTCCTTCTCCTGCACGTCGAGCCGGAGCCTCGGTTACCCGGTTACACCCGTAGTGGTTCTTCACGACTATAATATATAATAGTATAAGATATGCCGAAACTCATAAAATTTTAATACACCTACAGATATAGCGGACAACATTGATGACGCGATCATTCGAGGTTCGATTGTCATCGTAAAGCCTCGTACTTTCCATTTCCTTTTGTTAGACCCCCCACTCTGGGGTCCTGTCTAAGTTACAAGCTATGAGACTTCAAGTTTGTTATGGCTGGATAGAGACAAAACATTCTTAGGGAAGTGTAATTTTAGAATATATTTGGTAAAAACTCATTGACTCACTGATATTTTTTTTAAAAAACCCAGTATTACATTGCCCGACCTAGGAATCGAACCCGAGACCCCTTGCCCGGCAGTTGCACTTGCGACCACTCGGCCAACGAGGCAGTATTTTCTTTTAATAGTACTTATTTAGGAAATGCCAACGTAAAGTAAACTGGATGTATCTGTATCATTTTGTAGCCTTTTTGCTGAATTTTTTTACACCATTTGACCAATTCTCTACACGCTTGAATCTTCCACCAAAAATCTCGGTAATCGTCGGCCGATATCTAACTTGATTTCCCTCCCGGATATAACTTTTTTCCCCGATGGCAAGGACCAGTTTTTTGATTGATGACAATTTGATTAACATCGGTTCCCTTTCTAATGGCGCACTTCTCTGATTAGTATTAAAAGTGTAGGTACCAGCCACTGGCAACTCATTTCCTGGCATTTCGATAGCTTCCCTTTTAAATGCGATGATAATGTCATTAGGTTTCTTTTATATCTTTTTTTGAAAGTTGGCAACACTGTTCGATGTGTCACGGTTTTAATTTCCGCGAGGAACTAATATTTTGGTTAGGTGTTGTGTGTAATGTGTATGTAGGGTGTTTGGGGGTTTTGGACCCAAATTATTTGTAAAACGCATTAATTTTGTCATCTTCATTATAGTTCCCACTATAATAGGAATGATGACAGGGTAGGAAAATTAAAAATCTAATTAGTCCGTCAGTTAGGTACTGAACAAATATTAGACACGTATTTTTTAATTATCTCGTATTATAAAACAATACTTACCTAGATATAACGAATCAAAGTTTAGGAGTGGGGGCTAAACGTTATTTCTACGTATAAAATGTATAGAGAAGTGACGTCACGCGTCATTTCAAATCAATATATCGTCGAATGTATTCGTTTCTATAAGAAAAAAAATACGTGTCTAATGATTTAAACTGTCAAACACCAAGCGGTCACCGGTGACCGCAACCTATTGTTCTATAATTGTGTCTACAAAACCGGTACTCGACGAGTTAAAATAATGTACCATACGGGCATTAAAATAAAAAGTAGTCATCTACCCTATTATTCAGAAGTCAAAGTCAAAGCATTTATTTCAATTAAACCATAGTTACATACTTTTGAAACGTAAACAAATACAAAATAAAATAATAGTCTGTCAGTCAGTCCGTCAGTGAAATTAGGTGAAGCTAGGGCTATAGCAGACTAGGGCATAGACCAGGGACGAAATTACACAGACACAAAGATTCTACCCCTGGTTTAACAGTGTTTAAGTGGTTTAACAGGGGTAGAACCTTTATTGATCTTAATCGCTGCTCTATATCAATTCAGTACTTAAAACTCAAAAACATTTTTACTATTTACACACATTTATTTATTTATTTAATATGCTTCATGCACAAAACGTACAAAAAGGTAGACTTAATGCCGCAGGCATTTTCTACCAGTCTAACCTTTGAGTGATGCAGAGAAAAGTAAATGGTAGGTGCAAGAGGCAAGCAGTGATTTTATTTAACAATGAAAGATAAACTAATATATTTCGGAGATATACATACATAAATAAATTTAATTATAATGTATACCTACACATGAGTACAATATGCCTACATTACATTTATTGAGCTAACAAATATTATAAGATACAAATAATTAAAATCTAACTTTAATACCTAACAAAAGCGACATCCGAAGCACAAAGGCTTCGGAACTGCTTCAAAATTTCAACAACTTAGTGAGAGTGAATCTCGTTTCTGGCATCTGTTTTTTATTATTCATCGCCATATTTGATGGTGTGTAGGTGCTCCTCTCGTAAGCTACCTTCCTGTTCGTGAGGGTGATCATGTGGAGCAGGTCCAGGTCTTCGTGGTGTTCCTTGATGACATGGCAGAGGGCTTGGATCATCCAGGAACCGTACATGTCTCGATAGGACAGGTGGTCTGTAATGAATTTAGTGTGTTATGAAATTGAATTTTGATCGAAGATTGTTGGATTATAATGAATTGTTATGAGGATTTTAGTTTGTTGTGTGAACTTATGGTATATTTTGCTTCCCTAACATTTGTTATAGTAAGCGTAACTGAAGATAATTGGGTATTTTGTGAAAACCTTCTGTCATTCTTCAGTCATCCACATAGCTTAAACCAATTTATAACTTAATATAACATAACATCACGCCTTTTATCCCCGAAGGGGTAGGCAGAGGTGCACATTATAACCACTGTACAATATAACACCCACTTCTATTTATGTTATGAGTCCCATGTAATAGAAGGTGAGCCTATTGCCATATATCGAGCACAATTCCAAACTCCGTGCTACTACTGAGATTTTTTTTAAATCCAGTAATAATTTGCCCGACCCGGGAATCGAACCCGAGCCCCTTGCCCGGCAGTCGCACTTGCGACCACTCGGGCAACGAGGCAGACCAATTTATAGAAGGACGAATTTACAAACACCCACAGAAAATATGAGTAAACAATTTAACACATTCCTTAATAAAAAAAATCAACTGTGGAATACGACAAAATAATTAAAAAAAATCACACTTTCATTCATTGATTTTATAACCAACTTAATTCTAGTATTATTCTAACAAATTAAAAAAAGTATTCTGTTTGATGCTGAAAAACCTTGACGTCACAATACACAATCTCGTACAAAATTTATAGAAAACTTTCGTTTTTGACAGTTCGAAAAACGTATTGAATTTGACTAGTTGGCAAGGACCCAATTGTGTCAAAATTTCGATTTTATATGAATATCAATTTGTTTATTATATTATTTAGTATATTATTATAGTTATTTAGTATATTACCTTCCACAGTGGAACACAGCACGAGGAAGTCAGCGTGTGTGGGTATAGTCAGCACACTGTCGCTCTGACTGTCCAGAGCTACAGTGTTACCAGCGTCCATGTTGGCGCCTCTGCAAGCCTGTACATATAGAGTTTATTGTAAGCTTCTTTATTTGTTTTTGCCATTGGTCTGAAGAGGTTTTGTATAGTTAAGTCTTGATATTTTCGTTTATTTTTTTTTAAGGGGGGAAAATCATCGAATGACTGCTCCCGCCTGGGTGAGGCGGGCGGGAGTGTCAAACACTTAAAACACTAAAAACCACCCCGTTCCTACTCCTGCACTTCGAGCCGGAGCCCCGGTAACCCGTTAAGATCTCCGCGAAATTGGTCTGATATAAAAAAAAAAACTTATTATTCCTTTTTCGTCAACTTAACAATGTGAAATAATGCTTGTGTTGTGTTTCAGCGTGTCAGTGAGGTGGTCCAAGGCCTCATTCCCCTCCACCTCACCAAAGCATAGCAATACCATAACTCCTCTGGTATTGCGGTTGTTCATGGCTGGCGTCGATTGCCTACCATCAGGTGATCTGGGTACTTGGTTGCCGCCGTATCCTCTACAGAATGACATGTTAATAGTCACACACGTAATGCTAGCAAAATACAATAGTTTATTTGAGGTCGTTTTTTAATCATCAGTTAATTCTTAACTGGAGAATATAATTGACATTTAACATATTTTAGTATGGAGGAATTGTCAAATATCATCATCATCATACCTTTTGCCGAAGGGGAGGGCAGAGGTGCGCATTGCGGCATTTAATGGGACTGTACAATATAACTCCAACTTTTCACTATTTATGTTGTGAGTCCCATGTAATAGGGGGTGAGCCTATTGCCATATACCGGGCACAATTCCTTTTCCGACAAGGGAATCGAACCCGAGACCCCTTCCCACGCAGTCGTACTTACAACCACTCGGCCAACGGTGCAGTCTTTGTTAAATATTCAAAGTTATTCCTTAGTAAAAATTTATCTGGCGTTGATAAAATCAGCTCTTAGGCTGTATAATTTACCTGAACAAAGAACAACTTCGGTTTGTTGACGAGGCTCAGCTGTTTCTCGAAGATGGCCATGATATCTGTCAGCAAATACGGCCGGTCTGCCGCGTGGACCTCGCCTCCCTTGTCGCCATGCGTGAGGATTGTGATACAGATACAAGAAGTCTTCGAGTGGTCTTTGGAAGCAACTGAAATAGGAGAACGAGGTGGAGAAAAAATTAAATCTTAGTAGTAGCACGGAGTCTGAAATTATGCCCGGTAAACGGCAACAATAAATTCTAATCGTAATAAAACAATTACCTAATAAATGTTTATAATAGAAACAAAAATTAAATTACCTACAACAAATATTAAAATAAAAACAATTCATATATATCTAAAATTATAATTTATATTTTTATAGTTTAAAAAAAACATTGGTCTTATAAGGTTCACCCCCTATTACATGGGACTCATAACATAAATAGTGAAAAGTGGGTGTTACATTGTACAGTGGCATTAAGTTCCGTAATGTGCATCTCTGCGTGCCGGGTATAAAATAATCTCATCCTCGCACATGATAAGTAATGACGGGTGAGTAAGAATCTCCAATGAATATTAAAAACTTACTTGCAGTTAGATTTTTGATAATGTCTGAATATTCCAGGTCTCTATGGACGATGACTTCGAATCCTAGGTTCCCGAATATGGCTTTCAAACTCTTCACGTCATTGTCAGTACCATTTCTTGTTGATGGCTGCTTGTTTCTGTAATATAATAATGTGAAAGTAGACTTTATGATTTGGGCTGTAAGGTTCTCTTCTCGGTCCGACGTTGCTGTTAAAAGCAGTTTTTTAAATGTTGTTTCCTTCAGCGAATGGGGTCTACCGTATGTTTGGTCATAGGTGGCACAAATGTGATGTTAGTTAGATGTAATTTCGTCCAATCACAGCAGCTGTCAAAGTTTGAACGTCGAATGGTGTTTAGCTACCAAATTCCTTTTTGGATAAATCGGTTGCCAATCAAGAAGAAAAAAAAACGAAAGAAACTCACTAGCGCCACCTGGTGAGCAATAGTATGGTAGGCTTCATTAAATGATTTTAGATATTTACTTACTAGTTGTAAACATTATTCATTGTCGTTCAAATACTATCTAATAAGGTACAATTTTAATACTACAATTTTAATAACACAAATTATTAATTAAGTAAAATAATCATAGAAAGTACATACAACTCAGAAAAAGTCACATTGCCGTTGATATTTTTTGAACCCGCACCCACTCACCCTCTCGTGCATGGGAAGCCTCTTTTTGGTCTTAAACCTCCGGGCCACCACAACACATACGACGACCACGACAACACACTTTCTAAGATATTTAGACACCATTACCAAACGGCGAAGGAAAATAATGTGAGGAAATATGGGCTTATAATTTCTAATTATAAGTTTGAAATCGCAACAGCCAGCACGCATTGAGCAAGCGATTAATCTTCTCCGTGTTAGGAAACGCCTTTGCCTGCAGTGGCTACTATAGGCTGTTGATGATTATATATATAAGATATATTATATGATTA